GAACAGAGACAGCCCATGAATGCTTGTAAACTAGGTAAAGCTGGGTTACAATACGGTTTCCTTCCAGGCACTGCCCATAAAATAAAAGCCACCCCAAAAGGCATACCACTGTGACACAAGGGTACAGTTTTCTGAACACTGAAAGGGACATATATTTGTTCTGGACACCTCAGTGCAAAACACCCAACATCCTATACACAATCAGGAAACAAAAAACTTCCCTGAGGAACAGAAGTTTTTGTCCTTTCATTAAGAAATTCCTACTTTGGGAACGCATTACGGCACTAGAATGAAAGCTGGCAGTCAACACAAGAGATAGCAAGGTGTTATCAAAATACTAATCACTAAATTTCAAATAACAAAAAGCATTTTAGAGTTTTTTAATTTTTATTTTTCTAACATACAGGTGGTTTAAGCCCATCACAGCTGAGTAACATGACAGCAGCAAAAAGGTGGCAAGGCCAACACAGTGAGCAGCTACAAAAAATATTTCTGCAGAAAACTTCCCTTTCTTTGAGACAGAATCATTTCAGAGGGTTGAGAGCTGCTACAATGCCAAGGGTTTTTTGAGGGGTAGGCCAATCGCACATGTGAGGTTGGTCAGGGAGAGGAATAAGATGCTACAGCCAAATTTACTTGAAAAGCTCTCTGCAAACTGGATGCCCACCAATCACTTCACCGCATACTGCAAAGGTGCCCCTCTGGAGCTGGAACATACTGGCTGTTTAACACACCGCTGCACACGGGGCTGAGGATGCAAATGTAAGCCTCGACTACTAGCTAATGTTCCCTACTCCTGAAAACGCATCCTGGGATTTTACGTGAGCGAGGCAGCTTTATCCAAGAGTGGTAGCAGTGGCCTAACGCCCTCTAGCTCCATCCCAGGGTATACATTTAAGTACCAACAGTACTCCAGTTACAGCAGCACTTTCTTGTAGAGCCAGTTACGGATTCAGACACTGGGGTCATTTTATTGGACCCACGACTTGCTTTTTTGCTGCCTTCTTTCCTAGCACCTGACCAGATGTGTACTTGTCAATTTCCCAAAGCACAAGCCTTTGCCCCACCATGAAGAAGGTGTATGCCTAGATGTGGGGCAAGAGCCCCTCATGTCCCATTGCACTACAAAACCAGACATGCCTCTGATGCAGCAGAGGATCCCACCCTTCTCATCCCATAACAGGGAAAGGAGTGTGATGCAAAACCTCGTTTGTGATCAGGCCACATGTCCCTCTCCTCCCAAAAACACAGGCTCGCAGTGCATCGGAAGCCTCTCCTGCAGCACAGCCCAGCTCTGCCCAGCTTAGCTGGGGACACAGGAAACATCCTGGCAGTAGATACAGAGCAGCAATGGGGTTAGAAATGGATCAAGGCAAAGTGAGTCAGAGAGTCAGGACAAAGAGGGTAGCCAGCGGTCTCTGGAGGGATCACAGGGTAGTGTACGTGTGTCTATAGCTGCAGAGCAACACCTACCACTTCTGCAAAAGTAAATCTGAAAGAGCCAAAGAATAGTCTTTAAGAAAAAAAAAGTCATACCTGAGGTCTTTTGTATGCTTTTCGAACCCTCAGACCCAGCTTCTGAGCAAGCTCCTGTCCCAGCTGCGTGACGCTTTCATCCTGCAGAAAAAAAAACATTGGCAGGACACTTTCAGTTTTGTCTTTGCGGCACACACAATGAAATAAACAGGAATGCAGTTATCCACACTGGGCTGTGCCAAGAAGCCTCACTTGTAGACAGCAGCAGGCGGACAATTGCCAGAGCAGCCCTAGGGGAGTCCATGCAGACCTAAGTGCTTGTCCTGGTTTCAGCTGGGATAGAGTTAATTTTCTTCCTAGTAGCTAGTACAGTGCTGTGTTTTGGATTTAGTATGAGAATAATGTTGATAACACACCGATGTTTTAGTTGTTGCTAGGTAGTGCTGATACCAGTCAAGGACTTTTCAGCTTCCCATGCTCTACCGACTGAGAAGGCTGGAGGGGCACAAGAAGCTGGGAGGGGGCACAGCTGGGACAGCTGACCCAAACTGGCCAAAGGGATATTCCATACCATATGATGTCATGCTCAGTATATAAACTGGGGGAAAGCTGGCCGGGGGGGCCACTACTTGGGGACTGGCTGGGCATCGGTCGGCAGGTGGTGAGCAATTGCATTGTGCATCGCTCGCTTTGTATACTCTTTTATCATCATTATTATTAGCAGTAGTATTTTATTTTATTTCAATTATTAAACTGTTCTTATCTCAACCCATGAGTTTTCTCACTTTTACTCCTCCGATTCTCTCCCCCATCCCACGGGGGTGGGGGGAAGAGTGAGCGAGTGGCTGTGTGGTGCTCAGTTGCCAGCTGAGGTTAAACCACGACAGTACTCTTGTCATTCAGCCCTGCTGAGACACTGAGGTTGCACCAGGACCTCCCCCCCAACTCTTTCGATGCTGCAGAAAATCCGAATCAAGTGCCTGCTTCCAAGAAAGCACCCACTCTCCAAAAGCAGGGTTCACAGAGTCCCGCTGGCAAGATGGCTGAAGGAGCTGCCAAGGCTAGCGGCTAGCAGCCCCTGTGCTGGGGGCTGATACAGCTTCCACAAGGTCCCCATATCTGGGAAAAAGGAGCCTGCATGCCTTCCTGCATGCACAGCCTGTATACTTTCCCTCTCTGCCAGCCACAGAGCTAATAATCAGTTTTGATATGCAGACAGTATTCACTAGCCTGTTTTGCTTGCTTGTTTGTTTTTAAAGCTGAAACCAAGTCTCAGTTTCCAATTTACTAGCTACAAGGCATTTTCTCCATCTCTGGCTCTGGTTAAACAGCCTCAGCTTAGTCAAGCAGATCCTTCTGCTTTCCCTGCTGCATGCCATTAACAATCCTCCCTGCCCACTGCCCAGGCCCACTCACACATCATCGTGGGCTTTAGACAAAGTTCCGGGCCACGCTCCATTCCCCTGCTCTATCCTCTCCAGTTCTGCCTGGACTAACAACCTGCCACAACCTTCTTCGCTTATTTATCACCAGCAACTCTTTCCTTCTGCTTTCCTCTCTCTCCCTGTTTGCAAAAAATATTGGAGTACTTTCAACAGTTTCTTCAAAGAAGAAAAAAATATCTGCCCAAACTATTGTGATATCCCTCCTTAATGGCCCAACATCTCCTCTCTCATCTCCAACCTTGAAGCTTGCTGTCTTCTACTTGCCATGCCGGTCTTTCCGACCTCCTTCTCCCTGCAAGTTCATCCTTTCCCTTTCAACCCCTCACTAGCCTCTGGTTCTTCCAGCCCACAGTATCAGTAACTTTTCCTTTCAATTTGGAGTGCCGCTTTTTGACTGTACTTGCTTCCCCACACCCTCAACATTGGTCTTGTCACTTCTCTGAACTCAGTGAAAACAAAATCTATCTTGTCCATTTCCTCTTCTCTCTCCATCTTACACCCCTTCAGGATGTACCTTCTCCGGAAACTGTCCCCACACCCTCCAGAGATCTCTTCTTGGTCAAATATCATGGTCACTGCTCCTTCCTCACTCTCTTCCACCTCTCAGATCTTTCTAACACTGATCACATTTTCATTGCTCTGTTTGCCTCTGGTGATTCTGCCTTTCCAAACACCCTCTCAGGTGTCTTCTGAAGTCTGTCATTTTCTTGCTCCCTGTGGAAAACTCACCAGAAAGACCTCTGACGTCATTTCATTGATCTTATACTCATACCAGGTTTACTCTATCCAAATCCACATGCCAATGTAACTCCAAGATGTCTTCTCAGATTCCTGGACAAGATCAAGAATGTATTTCTCTCTAGACTGCCTCCACTTCCCATTGCAACAACATGTAGTTAATTATTGTCCTTTTCGTCAGCAGACCTGAGGTTTGGGGTAGGGGGTTATTTGCTTTTTGTCACCCCCAAGATCTTCCTTTAGCTTTCCCTTCCCTCAGCCAAATGCCACCCTCAGGCGCTTACTACCTCCCACCTAAATGAGGGGATGCTCAACAAGGGCATGCAATACGGTCTCCTCCAACACCCTAAAACAACCCATGCCACACCAAAAAAAGCATACCAGAGAGGATTATCAGCCTCACCATGCTGTGAACCTCTGCAAACTATCAGCACTGAGTATCTGCACCCAGACACAAGTTAACTCTGCTAGACAGTGAGTCAACTGAGTGGCAGATCCTTCATCACCGTAAGTTTTAACACATGCTCTGCTTTGACCACAACAAAGTTCTCAGCTGTTACAGCAATGCAAGCTGGAAGTACCCATGTGCTCCAGAGGCTTAGCAGCTGGTGTAATGGAAACAAGAGATGATGGATAGCATGACTTTTCTTTGATGCAGAGAAGGCTTATGATTTCTGTTAATCAGGTAACAAGGCAATGGGGTATGTTAATTTACGAGACTGAGTTGTATAGAATAGGGAATGCAGATCACTCGATATGGAGTTTGTAAGGCTGAACTTTCCGGCCACAGAGAAGTTTGATAAAAGTGTTTGTAGACCATAATAATGGGAGATACATAAACATAAGTATATGGTTAAAAAATAAATTCAATTAAGTGGCCCAATTGCAATGTGAAATATAGCCAGATACGGCTTTACACGAACACATACATTAGATGGTTTTGTTTATAAAAGGGTTTGTTTAAAAAGCAGTTCTTTGGAACTCCCCTAACATGATACCTTTAATGTGTTTTGGTCACCCTGTTCTGCCAAGTCAAATAAACTAGAATTTACAAGCTATACAAAATGAGTAACTAACTGCTAACAAGGCCTTCAAAGATTGCTTCTGGAATACTACTAACAAAGGAAAGTTAACTTCTC